TCCAGCATGTACGCCAAGACGCAAAAACACACACACGTGCTGAACTGCGGCGTCAACACTCCTCTAGTTTTAGGCTGCAGCCAGTTAAAAAATACACGAAGCCCCTCTTGCTACTCTGATATCACCAGTGTGGAAGTATTTTGTCGTTCATTCACATCAATTAACCACTAACTTAGCTACTCAACTGAGCCAAGTGGAAAAGAGCATCTAGCTACAGGGTCCAGAATGACTTTAAGGCTTAAAATGCACATTGGATAAAAGAACATATTCCCATTTAACACTAACCTCAGAGTGTGCTCAACAATCAAATCATCATTCTGTGTTGTTTCATTTCACTATGTTCACGTCTCTGTTTAATGTTCTGTTTACAACCTCGCGGTTGGAACGGTTTCAAAATAAAAAGCGGTTTCAAAATAAAAGCCCCCCGAAACAGAATAGGAAAAGGCCAAAAAAAGTAAATAACATATAAGGAATGCATTAATAGTAATATTAAAAAAAGATCGAAAATCGAATCGAGGATTTGAAGAATCGTGACACACCTAATTATGTGTTACAATATTTTATATATGTCACTTAAAAAAATGAATGAAGTCAAAGGCCTGGAAGCAAACAGTTTGAACTATTTCAATCAGCAGCAACAGTTTGGAATCACACTATCCCTTTATTAAAATGTGTTTACAAAACAAGCAAATTCAAGAGTATTTTCACACATCCTGTTTCTCTTTTACTCCTCTCGCAAGCAGCTTATGCCTTAGTCACACTGCATCACTTTCAAAGCCATCAGATCTCTGTACTGTTCACATTACACAACTTTCTGTCTTGCAATCGGGAGTCTTGATGTCATTGTGGTTTGCACAGCAACAGGTCACGGTCTACAAGCAGTCTGTCTGGTCTCCACACTACATTTCATCAGCAGTCATTAATAACACCTTTAATAACAAGCACGTCATGTTTGATTAGGAATGTCATTTTTAAAAAATGCACACAAAGGGCAACTATACTGCTGCTAGTACTACTCTCTTTAAGAAATATAACATACATCACATATTAACAATTCCTAACGTTTACATAAAAACATTTAAGTGTCAATCAATATATCCCATAAAGGTAAACTGTACTCAGTACAAACATTTCGTCAGCTCAGCGTGCTCAGCCTCTGTTCCTGCTGCACTCTTTCACTAGGAAAAGAGTGAGGGAATGAGAGGCAGTCCGATTCAATAATGAATATTTCTCGCTAAAAGAAGTGCTGGTTGGTGGATCAGATACACGTCCAATTCAACACTGACTCAGAACACTGCTAATTTACCACCTGTTATGTGTTTGCCTCAACCAAAGTAACTACTGGGTTCACTGCCTCCTGTCTGGTGCTGGAGAGAGACTGCGCTCACTGACTGTAGCTTGTTGCGTGGCTCCCTGATACGTCCAGATATCGCCTGCATTGTCTACAACGCTACAATCTGTGAGCTCTTAACAAACCCTCCGATCACATCTTCTTACAGTTCACACATAGCGATCGTCCTCACGGGAGCGAGCGCCAATTTGTGACTAATCAGGGGGACGTTTACCAGCAATCTGAAAAACTGTCAGCGAGTGGAAAATCAGGGCTAAAATCCTGCAGCGTGAGCTCAGCATTAGTTGACAAACTCTTCATTTCCTGCGAGCTCATGTTGCCACAGCCTTTTCCCAACTTTGCCAATACTGTCACTGGCAGTAGGACATTGCACATACCTGCAGTTGTAGCCTTAAACAAATCTGCCGACTCCAAAGTGGATGGTTTAGAGGGAGGTTTTTTCTTTTTTGGTGGAGATTTGTCTTGATTGGCAGGTGTACATTCCATCTATTGCAATGGGGAAAAGACTGGTTGCACTAAAACATTATGTACACATTGAAAATCTATCTCAAAACAAGTGAAAGTCTCAATAATATAGCCGCACTAAAAATGACCAAAAAAAGTACCTTTTCCAGCACAAACACTACTTTAACCAGTGTATGTTGAAGTCAGTTAGAGCCTGGCACACGTTCAGCAGCTCATTTGCTCCTTGACCACATTCTCTTCTCAGTATCTATTAGAATTATGTATTGACTGTGCTGCCAGGAACCCAGGCTGTGACTGATTCATTTAATGCTTCAATAGAAAGTATCTTTTTCTTCTGAATGAGTGGAATCTCCTGGGGAAACTGTAGGCCAGCAGCAGCTGTTCTTACCTCTTGGGGAGCTGTCTGTTTAGGGCCTTTGTTGTTGTTTACGGGCCTCTTGTTTAACGTTGGTGGAATCAGTGTTCCGGCCATCAGCGTCGCTTCTTTCATTGTGACGTACTGTTACTGCAAAATGTGAAATTAAATGACGACAATTGAATTACCCTCAATACCACCACATGCTACAGTACACTTTGTGCTGAACAGAGTCTTTACAGCAGTTTACGTTCGTATTGTAAACAGTGGAAACAGCCATTGGCTACTTCTCAAAGTAACGTCATCATACTACAAAGCAAAGATGGGCCTAACTAAAGGTTAGGAACACACAGTGGATGTTGTGATGCTTTGGGCTGGCACTTGTTGATCTTGTCAGTGACACTTTAAGCCCCGGAGGCCTTCAGTGAATCTGTGAAGTCCGGCACCATGTTTGTCCTGCTGACGAGAATAACCTCTCTGACAACCACCTACATTTAATAGTGCCTGCTCCCTGGTTAGACAGATGATGGCATTTTATTAGGGCTGCACGGATAATATCCAAATATTGTCAAAAGTATAATACAGCCAAGTGCAATATCCAAATTGCATAAACCGCCATTTTTAGTCAAATGTGTGACACAACAGCATTATAATATTGTAAGTTAACGTTAGTTCTGGAGAGCTGTAACTGGCGTACAGATCTTGTCCTCCAGATGGAAAACATATTTGTTGGGTACAGATTCACATCATCATTAGAAAAGTTAAATGTGTGATGTAAAAATATGCGTGCAATATGATAGCCTTTTTACGACATCTGATTAAGTAAACACTGATAAACCACTAACTAAAAGTCTTAATTTGCACAATGACTAGCACTATGCTGCCCAAGTGGCAGGGACAGTAATTTAATTTATTAATGGAGAACAATTTATTTATATGGCAGCATACACGATAATCTGTAAATCTTATCTCTGTTCGCGTTTGTGTCACCCCTTAATAACAATAATATATTCAGCTTTAGGTCTTAAAAGCTGAATATAATGTTTAGTTGGTCAGCTCAGCATTAAGTAGTCTATGCTGCGCTGGCATTAGGCTAACTAACGTTAAGTAACATGAAGCTAAAACAGTGAGAAAATGAAATATTATTAGCAGGTTAGCTAGCCGTTAATCTAACGTTACCTGCTACTAACCTTATATGAACTAACGGTAACCTAGCTATGCTTTTTTTAAAGCAGCGACAGCTAACCTTTACTTACAAGGAATGAATTGGTCTGTGTCGAAGAGTTGAATATTTGATATAAAGTTAAAGTTTCTCATTTAGCAGATGAGGACATTAAACATTAACTGCCGCTAACGTTAGTTTCATCGTCAGAGCGCGTCGACTGTTGCTTTCAACTGAAAGTCAAAACGCTCGGGCACTAGCGCGTGTATGCAAATGATGCATTCATGGCTCCTCGTAAATTCCGGTGTCACGGTTGGGCAGGTGGGAAGTATTAAAAAGTAACTACATGTTGGATACAAAACACATTCATTTAACTTTTTAAAGAATAATCCTACTGCCAGCTCTACCAGTA